TACACTCCGTGTAATCTGCGAAATAGGTCAGTTAGCAAGACAGTCGGTGTTAAGCGAGACAGGCATTATCTGTCCGCTTTCAACGACCTTCGAAACTGGCAAATCATCGCTGTTCCTTTCAAGTTGTACATCTACCTCCTGGTATATGCACATTTGTAGAATTCTATGGAGACCGGGGGAATTTTCGTCGAACGTTTCAAACAGACTCACTATTCTCATCTCCTTGTATCGTAAATATATTTCTACAATTTCGGTCGATATATATTCCTAGAAAATATAAAAAAAATGCGATTTCGCTTGCGTACAGATTTTAGCATTGGATCAAAGCTGAGCCGAGATCCACCATGTGTGCGACAGTCACGCTGTCCACTGTCCGAGGGTTAGTAAATTTCGCGAAATAATTGTAACGAAGAAAAAGGAAAGATGGTTATGGCAGAAAGAAAAAAATGGCTCGTCTCAGCGGAGGTCTTTAATCGGGCTGTTAATCAGGCCTAATTAATACGCGGCGATCAGATCTGGACCCGGGGAGGACTTGAAAGGCACCGTGTGGCAGCTGGCGGGGATTAAAAGGAGGCAAAGGTGTTACGTATCCTCTCCTCTACAGGGAGAGAGAAAAGACTCTGCCGAAACGTCGAGATTATCCGGATAACGAGGCTCGTTCGCGGCTACTCGAAGAGTGCAGCGAGAGAGGAGAGAGAGAGGATTGGGCGCGCTGATATCGAATCGTCGAGGGGTTGTTAGGAGAGTCACGGCCGGAAGTAGAAGTCGGCGTCGGCTATAAAGAGACGGAGTGTCGGTGTGATCGGGCCTGAAGACAAGTCCCGAGCGCGGTAAAGCACAGGTGTACCGCGCCATAATTTACAAGCCGGCTAATAAATTTCACCGGGGGGAATCTTGTTGGTCGGTTTTACGCTCGAATCTGGAGTCGTATCGTAGTCGCGGAGTGGTCGGTGGGTCGCGCCGCTAGGTTTCGCGCGCCACTTCTAACGCGGGGACATAAACCGACCTCGGTGATATTTAGAGGCGGCATTAAGGGAAAAATAATTGTCACGAAACGGGTCCCCTGCCATTGATAAGAATGAAATGCGTTAATGGCCTGGCGGTTCGGACACGAGGATGATTTCTAGACACGAGATTCTCCTAGGGCAGAAAGGGGGTAGTAGAGGTTTCGCCCGATAACGATTCCGTTGATTTACCGCGTGTACACGTCAGCCTGCTCGAACCGCGCTCGAAAATGCACGATTATCGTTTCTCATTTCCACGACAATTGAACGCGTCAACGTGTCCGCGTGCGTTGCATTCCCGATTTGCCACGGCGAGCAACAGAGAGCGAGCGACGAATATTTAGCCTGGACGACGGGCTTCGAGCCGAGGCGTTTAGCAACGCGAAGCACTTTGCATCGGGGATCAGAAGTCGGGCGTTCTTGCAATCTGTCTTGGAAATCGCGTGGAATTCCACGGACGTGCCAGGCCTCGTTCCACTTCTCATTTCATTTTCACGAGACGACGCCCGGCCGGTGTTGTGTCCGAGCGAAACACAGCAATTCGGAAGCAGTCCGTACGCCGTCGTTATCGTACGAATCGGCCGAGTTCTCTCACGGACCGCGTACGTGTCCCTCGCAGTCCCTCCATCCAACGCTCGCCTCTTCTCCCCTTTTTTCTTACCCAGAATCTCCGCGATTTTCGGTGTGAACGGTACCTCAACGACGCCACGTACACCTCGAGCCGGCGGCTGCTCGAAGGAATGTCGCGTGCAACCTTCCACCCTCTTGTGCACCCTCTTATGCCTGAATTGGCGCACTGTGTTGCACAAGTAGTCTGCAAAGGGGTCAATGGAATACGACCGAACGAGAAACACACCGATTCCTATCAACGAGAAAGAGAGGGAGGGAGACTATAGCGTGGAAAAGAGGGTTGAAAAAGAAGTGGGGAGAGAAAGATTTTTCAAAGAGTAGAAGAGTGGATGTGGGAATAAATTTATGGAGTTGAGAAAAAGCGAGAATGTTTGTGGGCGAGAGGGAGGAAGGATAAAAGCGGGACAAGGCGAAAAAGAGAGAGGCGAGAAGAGAAAACGCACACGAGGAAGGAATACGAAAATCGGTGGCCGATCGAGGATCGAACGTGTTACCTATGCGAGCGAGTAATAAGCCCCCGATATTCCCACACGGGCCCCATCCTGGCCCGCCGTGGGAAACTCATACGTGGAGGCAGGCGGTGGCGCGCCAGTTTAGCCAAGGGACGTGTGGCGTTCGCGTTTAACTTCTTCTTCTTCTTCTTCGTCGTCGTCGTCGTCGTCTCCTTATCGAAACTATTCTGTCACAAACAGCTGCAAATTTTTCATCCGGCGATTTTTCACCGTTGCAGCTGGGATACGTTTGCATATTTGTCTTCGTGGTTCAATTAAAGAAATACGGAGACGACGGTTTAATTGGGGCCCGGTTATTTACATGGAAACCGGCCCCAACGTCTCTCGTTGCAATTTCCACCGATAATCAAGTTACCAGCTAACTCAACATCCTTCAACGCGACCAATTTTTCGTCCTTTTTTTCTTCTCTTTCGATAAGAGACCTGGCTATCGAGTTGTTGTTCGCCGTATCATCTCGACAGAGAGAGAGAGAAGCTTTTAAATGTTTTAATCTTCGCAAGGCTATTTAAAATGGCCGCAAGGAGAGCCGCCACGGAGTTCCGGCGCGTCCGGTATCGTCGCGAATCCCGGCCAGCTCTCTCGATCGGTTGTTTATAATTCCTCGCGTGCACTAAGGAAGCAATTTAATAATAATAACGGCAGCAACACGGATTCTACGCGTACCGCCAAGGCGTACGCAATCAACGTGTATCTATACACGCGTGTACGCGTACATAATCGTTTATCATAATAATGCTAGGGTGTGTAGTGTGCGTGCCGCGCAACCCTGCACACTTATACACACGAATGGACAGCTGATTGCAACTTATGTTGCCGCAGTTATTACCGTCGTCCGTCCGACCAAGGGAAGGATTAACCGAACCGATAGTTCGTGTCCCAGAATTTTCAGCGTATGCACACACACACACAGGTACACGTACGTACAGATAAGTTCGTCGATGGTAAAAGAAGGTGAATAACGAATACATCGAAGAGGTGAATCTGGGCCTTGATCGGGGCATGCATCGCAGGTGCAGGTGCCTCTAGAAATTGGCGGAGTGGCCAGTGGTAAGAAGGACCACGAAGAAGGGAAGAGAGGAGCAAAGGGTACGATGCTGCACGCGCCTCTGACGCACCGATGCCACCGATATCTTCTTAAACTTTCCTATCCGCTCATTCATGCCCGGCTAAATGCCTATAATTTCGGGATGATTACAGGGCACCGTAACAAACGCCCTATGGACCCATGCTGTTCCACCGCGAGAGCTCGTTACGTGGGACCCCCGAAATTGAAACGGATTCAGGCCCTCCCTCTCGTCTTCCGTTCTCCCTCTTCTTCCCCCCCCCCCCCTCTATACGTATGTATTTTCCTCTCTTCTGTCTACCGATCTAGAATAGCCAGCGACGACCGACACGTTCGCTACAATGGGTTTAAAGGGATATCTAAGTTTCTCGTTCTGTTTCGGGGCGATTGATCACGGGTTACGACGGTTAAACAAACAGAGAGATGGAAAGACAGCTGCAGTTCTCTCTCTCTCTCTCTCTCTGTTCCGATTTCGGGCGATGCTTCGTGTTCTGCACTCTTGTCACGTTCCACTTGGAATACGTATCTTATCGAAATCGAGAAGATCGTATGAAAAAGTTCACGTTGGCAATTTTTTAGGCGAACGTGTGTCTGTGTAAGGACGATAAGAGAGGTAGGATTTAAGGCGTGTTGTAGGGTACGTCGAATAATTAATCGGTGTGAAACTGATTCGATGTCGCTTGAGCGGGGGAATCGCGCGCGAGAAAGAGAGAAAACATGGAGATGGACGTTGATGGCATCGATGGAACGACGGGTGAATTAGCGGGGATGATCGCGTGCACGAGCAGCCGGTTTCAATTCATAATACGCCAATTAGAGGCTAACAGAGAATTTGATTTCATATCTTATAACCGAACTCCGTTAGCAGAGAGCCGTTATATAAAACATCGTTGCCGAGAATAGAAGAGCTTTTTACCGATCCTATTTCGCGCGCCGCGAAACTATCGATCCTCCGATATTCGAGAGCTGCTGTTAAATATTCGCGCGCGGGCGACGCCGAGAGGGGTTGTTCAATTGGACGAAAGTCTTCTGGACGAACGTCCCTGAAAATTCTGTACAATTTCTCCGACCTACGGAACACCGTTTTCACGGAACGAAACGATAACGATAACGTGCGACACGCTCGAGCTGTGCGACGTAGAGGATTATTTTAAATATACACACCTTCTACAAATGGACCTGCTCTATGGATACGCACACCGAAAATAAAAGCTTCTAGGAAAATCGTTGTTAGCGAGGAGGAGAGCTAACGTCGACGCGTGATTTCTTTCTTGATTTCGAAGCGATAGTGCACATTTTCATGGGAAATTGTGGGTACGTGACATCAACGTGTGATTTCTTCCTTAATTTCAAAGTAAACGAGTTTCTTTTCACTGAAAACTAAGCAAAAATAAAGCTCCAACAAAAAGCATTCTTACTAAGCAGAGAATATTTGCGCCTTGAATCGATGCCTCAATTGCAAACCGAACGTATACCTTTTCCACGAAAAATTAAGCCCAAATAAGTGTACCTAACGTCGTCGCCTGATTTCTTTCTCAATTTCAAAGGGAACGTGTACATTTCCGCGCGAAATCAAGCGAAAATCATTCTCACCGATTACGATCAGAATACCTGCACCCAACATTCACCAGTGATTTCCCCCTCAATATCAAACCGAACGAGAACCCGTCGTCGCAACAACGAACGCGTAAGTCTCGATCTCCCGCGCTTTTTTCCCCGTCGAAGCCGAATCGATTCGCGACCGAGTCACGGCGTCCTACGCAGGAGTAAAGGAAAAATCTACTGCTCACCTCCTGTTGCTGAATTAGGAAGTCAGGCGCGGGCGGTGGCGGGGGTGGTTCCGAACCGGAGACCTCTTGAAGCAGACCCACGTGGTCCCAGCAATCTTCCGATATGTCCATGATCGTTCCTCCTCCTCCTCCTCTTGCTTCCTGCCTGACGAACGTCTCGATGTGATAAACAGGAGCACGGAAATCACGCGGCGGATACCAGAGATCTCAATCTCCTCTCCACCTATCCGAATTCTCCGCTTTCTTCAGATTATTCTTGATTTCGAACCGAGGTAACAGTGCGTTCTGTGGAAAAAACGGAAACTATCTCAACACGCACTTGTTATCACACTCTCCTCTCCCCTTTATCTTTCCCGTCTCTCTTTCTACTTCTCTCTCTCTCTCTCTCTCTCCCTCTCTTTATTCCTGTCTCTCTCTCTCTTTCTCCCCGTTTCTCCCTCTCGCGGTAGCCGAGGAACCCTGTCACTCCGTGAACCGGGATACGTAGAGGCGAGAGGTAGCCCCGCAAAGAGAGTAACAGCGATCGCGCGTGCGAAAAAACGCCGGCAAGAGACGCACGAACACACGGTTAACAATCCCGTCGACACGGCGTGTCGCGTGACCCGCGTTCTATGACGACGACGACGGCGTCGAGGACGACGACGGCCGTCGGTGGTGGTCAGTCGGCGTGGAATGAAGTTGGCCCGCGGGTTAGGTTGGGTTAGCCGAGCCGGAGTTGCAGCATCAGCGGAGAGGGACGGTGAGGGCAGAGAGCGCGCGAGCGAGCGAGCAGCCGAGTCGAGCAACCGAACACGCTGGAGAGGGAGGGTGGAGAGAGAGAGAGAGAGAGAGGAGAGAACAGAACGGTGCGCCGAGCAGAATGAGAGGGCGCGAGGTGTCGAGGGGGAGAAGCAGCGAGGGAGAACGAGGAGAGAGAGAGAGAGCGGCGGAGGAGGAGACGAGTATAGCGGCGAAAGGGAAACAGAGAGAGAGGGTTGGAGTGCGCGAGCGTGAGACAGAGGGTGGGGTAGAGAGAGAGAGGCGTAAGGCGTAAGTCTGCCCTAGTCGCTCGCTTAACCGTGCAGGAGGTGGCGCCAATATAACCCGTACTCCACCTCCGTCCGACAAAGAGCTTGCGTATACCTGTATGCGCCTGTTGGTAGGCCATACCGCCTACCGACTACCGTATTGCAGGATTTGCGATCCGTGCCGCCGGTAATTATTGCAATTTCACTTATATTCCGTCATACACCTTCTGTTTTTACGTCCCTCGTTTCTCCTCTACCTCAGTCACTTCCCTCCGGTGACTCCCTTTTTCCTCGGTACGTAAGACCAGCTTTCCTACCCTCCCCTTTTTGACTACACTCACACCACGATTTCACGTGTAGTTGACTTCTAAGGTGACGTCTTTGAGGAATGTAAGTCACTCTCTTTTTCCTTGTTACGTAAACCGAGGTTTTCTACCCTCCTCCTCTTTCGACTATACATATAGCACGATTTCACGTAGAGTTGATTTCTGAGGTGACATCTTCGAGGCATGTAAAATTGTGGACGAATCAGAGATCTCGATTCAGGTCGTAAATCTTCCCACCGGGATTAACACCTTCCTCCGCGTGCCTCCAAGTACGATCGTCCTTCGGCTGGCGGACATGTATCGCGTTACTTATCGCAATTACCGCAATTCTCCATTTCCTCGAATCGATCTGTCGACAAGGGGGCCGGAGGGAACGATAGCGCGTTGGCGCCGATAAACGATCGTTATCCTCGATCGGGCTGCCCTTACCTTTCACGTATACCTCCAGATAATCGGCGACGACGTGGGCGGCGTGGCGGACTCTACGGGACGACGCGAACCTCGTGCGCGAAACTTACAAAGGGTGCCTCGTGGTGCTCGTGGACGAACGCCCTCCTCTTCCACGATCCGGATCTTCCTTCCTTTCGATACCACCAACGAGAACCGTCGCTAATGCGTCGTATTTGCATCGATGCGCCTTCCTTCACTGACTCGCTCCGTTACGCGATCGCAGATTTATGTTGCTTCTGGTACTCGTCTGATGCATTTAATTGCGTAACGAGTGGGCTGAGTGTGTGTGCACTTCACACTTCCGTTTGCGAGTATTGGGATGAGGCGTTGTGGAATCTACCGAACTCTGCTGAAATCTACCAAAATCTACCGGAATATATTGCATTTTACAAAAATTAATTTCTTCCTTCTTTTAAGCTCTTTTATGTGTTTTATTGGTTGCTCTTTTTAACCCTTCGACCATTTATCCCGAGTGAAACTCGGACGGAGTGGGAAGCACGGAACAGTTTAGCTCGAGAGAGGCCCTTAGGAAGAATGTTAGAAAGGGACCAGGTATTACTGTCAGAATCCTGACGTAGAGTCATGTAAAACGTGCTTTAAAAATGATTACACACAAAGTGCAAAATATGCATTTCATAATTTTATTAAACTGTCAAAGGGTTAAACTCATCCTCGATAATAAAATTCTACAAGGACAATTGTCAAGGCTGACAGACGATCACTAATCACTTAAAAAATACATCATTGTCACCGTAATTAATAATTTTATTAGACCATCAAACGGTACAGAATTCCCCAAGGACACTTCACATCTCCGAGTAAAATCTCGATGGTGTCTGTCATCGTGGAGCATCTTCGATTGCCCGCTCCTTGTACCTTCCAGAAATCTCTCGAAACGTACAAGAACATTTACACAGTGCTACTTTGCCAACCGCTATATTACACGTTGTCAACGTTCAATCTAACCCGGTACTTTTTCCCTACCAGATGGATTTCTGCTTTACTCGACGTTTGTTATTTCCACGACAAATTGTAAGACAGTTGCAGAGGAACGTGCACGCGATAAGTGGACGCGCGCGGCTCGAAAACGCGTGTTGCACCTCGGGCGTAATGGTAGCTCGCGTATACGTCAACGGTACCCCTATATTTAGTGACACACTTTTTGCCCAAGCCCGTTCGCAGACGTGAGCTAGGTGTACGTATCTACGTTGGCAAAAGCATTCGTAGCGACGTCTAGCAAACTGTATTATACGTAGAGAGTTTTCGCGAGCTTACAACCTGCCACGTATATTTTAACGCGCCTAACTATGTCCTACGATATGTACGCGCGTTTCATTACCACGGAGAAATTTTTCCCCGTACGCGAACGTTACAACGACACGATGCAACTTACACGAGGGTATCGAGGCGAGTAGATAGATACAAGGGACGTCGGAACGAGTCCAGCGCAGGCTGCAGAGTCGAAACGAAGGGTTGGAATGCGATATGAATGCGTTAATGCGTCGTTACTGACAGCGACACGAATCGTTGATAGTACTTTCGACTCTCTCTCTAGCTTTCGCGTGCGGATTCAATTGAACGTTTCAGTTTCATTGCAGCCCTTGCTGTTTCTCTTTTTCTACCTTTTCTCGTTTCGTTGTTATTTTTAAATTCTCCCCACCGATGACGATCGTTCGCGTTTTAATTTGACCCCTATCGTTCCCGGCGATTGCGCGTATACCTGGCTTAAAACGCTACTAATAGTCGCCACTTGGCAGAGTCGCTATTATCGCGCGGATACACTCTGAAATAGCACCGGCTGCCACATCGACGTCAAAGATTGATCGCGCCAGACTGCGACATTCTCGTGGAACGTCGGCGCATCGATAAACACAATTCCCATCGTCTGCTTCATCGGAAACGCAACGAGTCCAATTTTTATCTGCGCTCACTTTTCGCAAATTCTGCGCTGACGATTTTTCGGGGTTTCCGATTCGGAGCGAGAGGGAGAATTTTCGAATTTTTAACCGTTTCTGTGCGGGAAACGATAAATATTTAACCACGGCCGCAGAATTTGTCATTTTGACTGTATTGTTTAGAAATTTGCTTTATCAAACTGAGATGGAAGTTTGCGAAGGATTCAATTTTTCAAAACGTTAATTGCAACGAATCTTTCACGCTGAGAAATTCTTCAGTGACGACAGATTTTCGGTGCATCAAACTCAGAGACAGAGAATCGCAAACTTTTCCTCGCAGAATAAAATCCCCCCTTACGGGATACCACCTCAGAAATGCAAATTAAGAGTTTCATGCGAAACGTTCGGGTAAATAATCGTTCAATTTCTTCGGTACGTGTCCTGCCCTCCCAAAAAAGAAAAGGAAGAAACGGCGAGCTATTAGCCGCACCAAGGTATACTTTGCTCTTTTCATAGACCTCTAGCCACCAACGACAACGCGACCCTGTAGAGTGTTGGTCGAGCCCTCGACTTTGTATGCACGGAAAGCCGCTTTACGACGTCAACCAAGGGGACACGCGCTCTTCGGTTGGATACCAGCCATGATAATATGTAATGCCTGTATAGAGGGCCGCGAGTGGTTCGATCGCGAATCTTTGAAGTTCGAACTGCCTTTCCGCCGACAAGCCGAAGCCGCTCTACGGGATCAAGTGGTAAAAATGATCGGTAAAACTATGAGAAAGCCAAACACACACCTCTCGTATACATATAGAGAGAGAGAGAGAAAGATCATACGTCGACGACTTGCTGCCTCCAAGTCCTTATATCCGCTCCTTATTTCTTTCTTTTTCTTTCTCTCGTTCTTCTTATTTCTTTTTTGGTACGTGGTACGAGAGAGTATATACGGGCGAGCACCTGTGGCCACTTTAAACGATGCCGTGGTAAACGGTAGTCAGGATAGATTGAACGGTCCGATAGGGTTTTAGCTCTCTTCTTTTGCCATGGAGGATCGTGGACTCGCGCTTTTAACCCCTCGACTCATTAGAGCCCATAACTCTGTCCAGCGAAACGTTTTACGTTCGGTTGCACGGTGTGTTGCATGCACGTATGTAGCCTCCACCGAAAGGAAGCCTCCGCGTACATTATACTGTACTTTTAGAGTGCGACGCGTATCTCTCATGTTTCCGAACGAAATTTATTCCTACGACGGTGTGCTACGGACTCGTTACCCTCTCTCCCCTCCCTCTAACGTTAATCGCGATAACTGATTCTCTTCTGCTGCCCCGACGTATCGTAACGCGACGTGTAATACCGTAACAATTGTAGAGAATCGTCGATCACGGACACATGTGATTCTCTGTTGCCCGACGAGCAGAAAAAGGGACCGATTTTTTTTCTTCGAAGCGACCAAGTTCCGACTAGAAACCGAAGCGGCTTTTGTTACGCGTGTTATTGCCGCTTTTTCCCCGCGGACCTCCCACCGTCCTTCTAACGAGACCACCAAAGGTACCGGGGACTAAAAACCACGCAAGAAACCCACCAAAGTACGCTCTTTATACGGGATGTTTTATATCGTAGCCAATTCGAGTGAGCGCTCCAATTATGGCTGAATATATATAAAGTCTCTCCGGTCTCTCCGGCGCACACGCGTTACCATTGCGACCCTTTATATGGCAAAAACGATAGAGAGCGCGAAGTCCGTCATCGAGGGGCCTCCGCTCTCTTCGAATTTACTGTTACACGTCCACGTTGCTTTTGCCCATCGATGGAAGAGTGTATGTGATCCAGATGTAGTGTTTTCTCTTTCTAGCTGCCACAGGTCTACCGGAAGATTGCATTTGCGCCTTCGTGTCGCGTTCATGCGTGCACGAGCGTAAGATCGCGGAAGGAGCTTTTCAGATCGATTCGTTGGAGGAATCCTTCTGGCAAAAAACCGCGCTGGCGCTAATGCTGTCGTTCCACCCCGGTCTCCAGATCGCGGAACGCATTCCGGTAAACCACAACAGGAAGGGAATCTCGTTCGAAAAAGGAGGTGAACGCGGGAAACGCGAACGGGGTCGATTATGCGAACTGTTCGGTCGGGTGTAACGAACGTGATGCGCGAGCTGCTTTTGGAGAATGACGGGTTTGAGGTTTCTTACTTGAGGTTAGAGAGATTTAGGGCACACAGGCTTATGTCATATTACTTCTCTCTTGGATGTAATCTTTAATCGCGTTACTTTTTATTGAGTAATATGACAATGAAATGGATTTTCTTCAAGTGGCATTTTGGCGTATGTGCCCTTCTGTTGAAATAAGGTAATCATTATATACGTTATATTCTAAAAATAGAAAAGTGATTAAAGTGATAGTGGTGTCTGTCACATTTCCGAAAATTTCGATCTAAGAAATACAACCTGTACATGTGAAACTATTAAAAAGACTAGTGAAGCAGGTTATAATTGAGACAGTGTGACTGTAGAATTAATTTGATTAATTTCTAACAACATTCTCTGTTTCTCGGAATAAGGAAATTGTCACTTACTTGAACCCCTTCGTATCGTAAAACGCACCAGAAGGGAACAAATACGCTACACTCAACTCCGGCTGTCCTACTCTCGATGGAAATTGCTATATCCATTAACGCCAACATACTATCGCCGTAGCGAAAGATTTATCAGAATATGCAATTCTTCCGTATAAAGGATATCAAGAGCAAGAGAACAAGTTGGAAACCAAGTCAAACAAGTGTGACAAATGAACGGAACTCGTTCCCTCGAGTCACTTGTCATCGACAAAGCGGTGTATACACAGTGTGTAGAATTCTCCGTGCTGCGAAGTTTGCTCGAGATGTATAGAAGAAGTTAGCGGAAACCGTGCGTTAGATAATGAATTCTGGTACATGCTCGGATAAGCGTGTATACAATAAAAAAAGAGAACGAAAAAAGAAGCGTTCCTCCGTTGTATTGTCCAAGAATTAATTAAAATGGCGCGAGAACAAACGACCCGTGGGGAGAGGTTGAAGTTGGTGAAGAGAGGAAGAGTACGGCGGGCGGAGAGAGGAGGTGGAAAAGAAGGGTTTGCGGTTCTCGTCGGAATCCCAGCGGCGACATATCACTGGGCGGTAGATCACACGAACTCTTTTGCAGTTTGCACCGGACGGATAAAGCGCTGCAGCGGCTGCAGGCTCGCGCATCTCTTACGTATGCACGAGCATAAGCATAACGCAGGGGAACATGGGTAGATGATATCGTGGATGCACCTACGGGGCCACGGGGCGTCGACGCGATTCCTTTGTCCTCGTTCCTGGCCGCTCGTTCTTCTTGCCTGCAACCGCCTCGCCCCCGGACGACCTCTTGGTGCACACATTTTGTTCGCGGAAATACCACGGCCAATCTCGTGCATCAATCCTGTCCAACGGCTTAGAATTGTATCAAAGAACACACTGCGTGCGCTGCTACCGCCTCTCTCCGAGAGAGAGTGAGAGATTACCATCTGATCTCTCCGAGAGATGTCTGATACTGTTATTTGCGTTGGAACGATTCCTTTTCTTTTTTTTCCTTTTCCTTGTTTCGCTGCTCCGTTGTTCTTTTTCCACCTCCCAACAGAGAGAGAGAGAGAGAGAGACACAGAGAGAGGTCGCGTATCCTCGCGGTTGTAATTATTTTAATCGAGACCGATCTCTGATCGTGACGACCCCGCGTAATTGGTGTTACAAAATACGCTTAATGCTCGTTCGCGGCCCCGTGCAAACAACGTTATCAGCGATTTCGGCCAGGACTAAAATCGCGGCCATTAACAATAATTAAAAAACAAAAAGGTATTCTTTCGCTTTTGACCGTTGCGCATGGGGCTGCTATGCGGGCCAGGCTCAATCATTACTCGTCGTTTCATTAGAATATCGTCGATAAAAGGGGTTTAATTATAAAGCCACCGGGACGCTTCCTGTCCGCGCGCGGACACAAATATACAGGGTGTCGAAATTCGTTTCTATCAAACTTTGCCAGTATGTTGTTTAGGCGTAAGTAAGACAAAAATGTTAAATAAACATAGGTGTTTTGAAGCTTTATTAAAAAGTTATAGCAAAAATACGAAACACGAGGGAAACAGAAATGGACTTCCGGTTACTATTGGTACAAAGTAAGAATAGATCTGTTTAGACGAGCTTTTACTCTCTGAGGTGGTTACCAGAGTAACATAGATTGTCTTGCATCGTAGCAACCATAAATTCGTTACCATTCATATTTCTGCTATAACTTTTTAACGAAGCTTCAAACGACCTATGCTTACATAACATTTCTTCCTCGTCTATACAAATAGAACACACCGACAAAGTTTGATCGAAACCAACTCGGACACCCTGTATATATGTGTACTTGTGCGTGCAGCACGCTCACCTTTTCTTTCGTCCCTTCTACGAGCCCACTGTTCCCTTCGTCTTTCCGTATTATACCTACGCGATATATATTTTTACACACGGTCGGTGATTAGTAAGGCTATTTTCTTCATTATGAAACATTGTAACGAAGAAGTGTTCTTATTATAGCACCGTGATTATCTAGATTATCTCGTTGAAGACTATACGTATGCACCTATATTATGCAAATCACAGACTTTCTTTCGTTCACTGTGCTTACTCGCCCATCGTACGGTGCGTTACGATTGCATCAACACCATTATGATATTTGACTATTCGATCTGTTTGTAAATTAAGCAACCTGCTCACGGAAGATCCTTATCGTACTCGTTTTTTCTTTCCTTTCCATATCTCACGACAACGAGTCGTAATAACATACATATTTTTTTCTACGTCGAGTAATGGGTGCGATATCGAGAACGGGAGAATTTTAAACGGGGTTTCGAGAATTCCAGATCTTTAACAGCACCCCTAGGGTAGTTTGTTAACCCTAAGTTCGAGTCGGACGTTCGAATGTTTATTGCGTCGTTTAATTACCGAATGAATTACCGGTTACATATGTTCGAGAGATACACGTTACAGATAAGCGAACAAAAGTGAAGTGGTTCGTTTCGATTCTCAGGCCGCCGGTTGAACGGATAGAAACGGTCCGCGGGGGGAATCGCGGTGATAAAAAGCTGAATCAATCGGCCATCACGTGGATGCGTGTAGGAGCACTTAAATCGCGGTATTTAAAACTCCATCTATGCTATGCGCCTGGTTATTCACATTAGTTTGTGCGACGGGTCCGTCGGCCGGATGTTTGCATCGATGGAATATAACGCGTCGGACTGCTAAAAGGTTTTACGAATCGTCTATTTGCGCGGGGGTAGGAATCAAATATCTAGCCGCCTATCGTATACGCGCGCTCGGTTTAAAGTACGGCCGGGGGGCCCTCGTGGACGAGGTGAAAAATCGAGGTTTTTGCGTAGCCGTCTGTTCGGCGCTTTTTTTCCTTTTGTTTTTTTCGTTCTTTCCCCCTTTTTTCCTCCTCCCCGCCCCTCTCTACCTGACCAAGCGCATACTGGGCGCCGACGTGGGATGCGAGCTAACAGCTGGATCGCGGCGTTACATATTCCATCGCGTCCTACACAATTATAATGCAATTAAATTGACTGGTATTATGTATTATGCATGAGGTGTAACGATTGCACTCGTTACTAATGATGTTAACAATTTTTTTGCAAGTGCAATATGATTACAGCTCGTTAGTACATTATTAAAGAAAGGAATTACACGTTGCATGCGTGTATGCATTTTCACGCATACGTAATTTTTATTTGCATTTTCAAGTAGCAATTAGACATCGTTCACTTGCTCCGATGATGTGTAATGCGATGAAAGGTATTCATAACATACCCCGTCGTGTGTAGAAGGAGAAGTATATACACGCTGTGGTTTTTAAACGTGTTCGCTGGTGTGTGCGCGTGTGCGTATGTAGAGTGAATAAAGAAAAAAATTATTTACGTTAGTTTAATCGAGTCGAGGTTTAATTTTAGTATACGCCCGGCGGAAATACATTATACGCGTGTTTCGTGTGCTCGTACAGAGGTCGTCCTTATCGACGGTACGACGAACGACGCCGGTGACGGTAGTGGCGCTGCAGTGGCGCTCAGTAGTGACAAGATGGCGACGCCCAGTGAGCTGTCTCTCGAAGAGATTCGCCAATATATATTGGAAAACGGGGGTACTGCCCGCAATCACGACGTGGTGAAGCACTTCAAGAAGTTCCTCACGGATCCGGAAACTCGAGGTACGTTGAAAATCCTGTGCATATCGTGGCCGAGGTAACTGTCTCGTTCTCGCAAGGTGTGACCCTGATGTTACACGGTGTGGTGTGTGTAAACACGGGACAGACGTTAATAGCAGTCACACCCGTCGTCAAATCTAACGACAGCTAGTGAATAGTGGGCAAATTTACGTTACAGTGGGAGCACGGAATCGTTTCAAGGAATATGTAAACACCCTGGCAACTATAAAGAACGAAGAGGTGCGTCATCGAGTAGCAATTTCCTTCCGCCTTGACAGGAGCGACTTGTTGCGCGTTGTGCGACGTTGCCGGCTTTTTCCTACGCTCTCGCGCGCGGTTTTCATAGACGAAACTTTGCGTTATCTGCAGAACTTTTTTTCTTTCTCCTCGACATGCTTTATTTACGTCCTCTCAGATATCGCGTGTTGTGTTCATTCTTATGGTACATTACCATTCACCTCTCGAAATTCGTACAAACCAATGTTTAACGTAGTTTCACGGACGTTCTAGTAACGAATTCGCGTGCGTCGTATCTACGTTTAATTCTATCGCGTAACATATCGCGTTTCGAGAGTTTCTTTATGTATCTATGCAAAACTATTCGGTGCAGGGTGAGAAATATTTGGTTTTGAAGAAGAAGTATCGCCAGAATCCCGTCGAACCATTGTCCACGGAACAAATCGGATCACCGATCGTCACTCCTGACCTAGCCACCCCGGTTTCTCCTTTACGTGTTCCACCACCTTACCGACCCCCACCTCCCGCCCCCCTCAGTCCTCCGGGGAATAACTCGAACACGCACCGCGAGGAGTCGTGTTCGAATTTCACCCGCGACGAGGCCTGTATCAATGCGCGGAAAAATGGCGTTGAACGTGTCGAGACCGGATTTTCAACGTCGTCGCCTCCCGTGCCGCCTCGCCGTAAAAGTCAAGATAAGATCAAGATCGAGAATAAGGAGAACGTCGACAGGAATAGGGGAGGATCAGAGGCGGTTATCAAGGTGAGTTTTTTTTCCCTCTCTGTATATATACGTGCACATAGGCTTAAAAACGAGGAACGTGAAATCTTATCGACATTACGTTGACGTGAAAAAGGTTAGGTGAGAGAGTGGAGGGGGAGGAGAAGTATCGTTAGGTAGATGGCGTTAATTAAAAGTGAACAACGATTTTTCTCATGTTCTCGTAACTAGGATAATTCCTTCGTAACAACGTGATCGTATGTCGACAAGTAATTCGATCAAATTTCACGTTCTTTTTGTCCTTTTTTTTTTTTCCAACCCACATGCACGCCATCGTAGTGTATACGTATATGTATGTTATGCTGATAGTTTGCTGGTTGAGGCCGTACATGTAAATATAAATGTGCAACCGATAAAATGTTTGAACACGTTTTCGCTTTATCGCGTAATTACCGAGACCAGATAATTTTGGTATTATTGAGCAATAGTGTTGCGTGTGTACACCGTTTGGTTATGTAGAAAGGTGTCCACGGTTACAGTAAATGTCACTTAAAGCTGGCACGATAGCGAGCGTAGTATGTATACAGAAACTGGTGGTGTTTCTAATTCTGCATCGAAAGCTTCAACGTCCTCTGCAGTAAAAGAAAAGATCGAACCTATTTCCTGCCATTTTTCGAACGTAGTCCAAAGTGATCTTGGCATGCTTAGTGTATTATCTCGCTTGAATTAGTAGCATGAACATCATCTCCACTGTGTATCATCGTGTCTCAGTAGTAGCCAGTCGAATTTCCATATTCTTCGCATCCTTTATTTACTTCCTCCATTGTGCTGTTTCTGTCTGTTTTGTCCGAATGTTGCGTTACGGTTTCTCGCCTTGAATCGCAGTAGCTGGGCGTAGTAGAGCGAGAGAGAATCCTCGGAGACTTGACAAATCTCGCGATATTAAACGTGCAGGAAGATGAGGCTGTCGCGGCGAATCCGGGCTCAACCGAGCAATTAAGCTTCCGCGAGCGGATGCAACGTTTCAACCGGATGGCCAGCGAGACCGATCTCCAAGGCAGGCCTAATGGTTCTGTAACACCTACTAAAAAGCGATCAGACAAGGTAACCATCTTTCTACTACTAATAAGAAATTTTCTCCCTTATTTCACATTCTCGTCGAAATATTCTCTTCCTCGTTCGCGATAATCATTTTTCACCGTTCCTTCGTGGAAATTACGTCTTGTTGCCTGTTCGGTTCATTGACTAACAAATTGTTGCGAGCATTCCTTGCGCCGCCTCGCGGTACATTCCGCGCTACAAGGTGCGCCCAGGTAGAGGCTGCCTAATCGCGATCGGTAATCGTTGGCTCGAAATAACGGAGCTGGAACGATTGCAAAATATATCACGGGAAAGTAACACGTGGCTGACGTGAGAGAAAGAAAAAAGGAAAAGCTTTCTGGTATAACAGAGAAACGCGTGGTAATCACGGGAATAATGGATATTGATATCTATTATTAATACTGCAACGTGTATTCTATATATATATATATATACATACAGCGTTTGCAGCTAATTATTCGAACAACCAACGAATGTACACATTGCCACGCGTCGGTTTCGAAGCGAGTTATTAAATGTAGAGAAACGGCGTAATCGCGCGGCTAATACTCCGACATAGTCCCCGGTGTATAAGATATCGACAAATTACTTTGCTCTCCTAACAGAAAGCTTCTACTATCCGGCCGTGATCTTCACGCGGATGTAATTCATGTGAGAACACGCGTGAACCGGCTCCCCGGCTATAAATAAGTATCTTTTATTTCCTCGAGATAAGGATCGGCTTAATAACACCAGGCGGTTTTTAAACGTTTTCGCCTTCAAATCATAACTACCCATCTGCGGGTGCTTCACGCTTGACACTGTGAGTTATCGGTTGGAAAAAAAGCGAACGATTCGTTCGGCGACGACGACAAAACCGGAGAGGGGCCCTCGATACATCGAATAATCCACACGCGAGGATACGCGTGTCCTTTTTTTTTCTCTATTCTTTTCTTTTAGCGAAAAGGAAAGGGACGCGGTTGCGTACAGGTCTGACTGCTCATCTTGCATACCGAATAGACTACTAAGAATCCTTTTCTCGTATCCTTTACACGCGCGCGCCTCCCTCTGCCAGCTCTCTCTCTCTCTCTCGTCGTTCTTACGTGGATTTCTTCGTTTCTCCCTATACCCTTTCTTCGTCTGTCGTTTGTTCGTGCGCCGTTTATCGCAGCGAGCAATATCCATCGCATTTGAATATCCTGCGGGCGGTATCTCGCGTACCGATCAGGATGTTGCGTCGATGTTGCCGTAAATCATAATTAGCCGCGCCTGAAAATTAAAAGTGGAGGAGGCGGACGCTGTGGGAGAGCGGGGAGGGAGGGAGCGAGCACGAGAAGAGGAGAGGTTCTTTTCCGCCGCAAAGCGCGCACCGCTCGTCCTTTACTCGCTCGATTCTCCATCATAATTTCGATATGTTTATCGTGCCGAACCGATTAAAAGGACCGGCCACGTGGAACCCTCCACCCAAGGAGTATCGCATAGTCGGAAGGAAGGAGCCCGCCGACGTGCAATTTACTCGCGAGTACACGCTTTAATCATTTCCGACTGTCTACTATATTTTCTTGAGGATTTTGCGCAACAAGTGATCTCCCTCTCGAGAGGCAGTCTTTCCTTTTTTGCAACAATAGAACATTGCCTGGGTGAGCTGTTATCTGTGTGTGTGTCTGAATGACCAGGCTTGACAATGGAGCGATTAGGACGCTCGAGGGCAAAATTTGGCAATCTTTTTCTTAGGTAAATATTGGAGGAACTTTTCTCTCAGGTAAACATTAGACGAGAAGTCAACTTTTTCGGGGGACTTTTTCAGAGTAACTTTCAGCTTTTTCCTTCAATTTTTGAAATCTGGAAAAAATTGAAATTTTTAAGTTAGTAGCTAGCTACAGAAAAAATTCCCAAATTGTTACCTCAGGGTGGTAGGTAATCTTCGCCGAATTGAAAGACAGAAATTTTTGAAAGATATATTGCAGAATGGAGGAGATATGTTTATTACATGTTCTCTGGAAAAAATTGATTTCTTCAATTTTTGAAACATAAAAATGTTACAAAACGGAGCAAGTTATATTTACATTCTCTGGGGAAAAATTGAAATTTTTAAGTTAGTACTTAGCCGCGAAAAAAGTGTCCCAAATTTTTACCTCAGGGTGATGAATCCTCTCAGCACTTAATCTAGTGTAAATTTGACCGGAAACACCACTTGGAAGCACGTCAAAAGACTCACGGGTGGCACGTGGTCCTGACGAGTAATTATTTATTATTCAGCTGTCATCATCTATTTGCGGCGGTCCGTCTTTCATACACGAATCCGGCTAGTTAATTTTTATTAGCGGTGGATAGGGTTTCGGGATACGCCGGGAGAATCCTCTCGCCTCCGGACATCCTGTAATCTCTTGGGAGCTCTCGAGAGGCCAGGCAGGCAGGTCGGAGCTTTCTTCGCGGTAATTATCATGCGGCATGGCCACAGTATTCCGCCCTTCGCATCCCTAATGAGATCCTTCGTCTAGCGTTGTGTCGCGTGCCGCGTCGTTTGCCGGCCGATCGCCGCATCAACACGTTTCACGTAATTTTCCGTCGTGCTTTCCACGAAACCCTCGTTATGGCCCATTGAATGCTGCGGCCGCGGTTACGTGTCGATGAATGCTTATATCGCCGTGACGTCGACTATTAGGGAAGAACCCATGGGAATCGTGATCGAGAGATCTCCCAGCGGTATTCGATTTTTTTCTTTCATTTCTATCTTCTCCTTCGTTTCTCGGTTGTAGAACTTGTGTTTGCGTTTATTGTGTTTGTCACGTGGACGATAAGGACTTTGTGGATTTAAAGAGAAAATAATTAATTGTGAGAATGATTATAATTTCTTTGAACGCGGGTAAGATTGCACTTACGATTTGAACTTTTGGGAGACTTGTAATAAATGATTTTAACACTTACAGCGTTTACTACCGTATTAACTAGGAAATTTACGTTTAATCGAGGAGTTGGAATGGTAAACGATAAAAGTGCCAGAGGTGAAAATATCCAGCGTTTACCGCCTTTGTAGATTTAGAGGGGAAAGTAAGTGGCTGTGAACACTACTGGCACTTTCGTCCTTTTAATCCTCACCGAAATTACCACTTACGATTTTACCTTTATCTCGCGATAAACCTAAAAGCTGATATAAATTATTCGCATCGTTCTTCCCTAAAAAAAACGATTCCTGAATTTTTCCAACACTTTCATCCTTCACCACCCGATTTAAATTCCTCAATTAACACCGAGGTTGTACAATAGAACTGCACACAATTCAGATTTCGAACAGAACAATTAACACTGCAGTCCCGTAGTCGCAGTTGTACCGAAATATTAAAACGACGCGAACGAAGTTAATGCGGTTATTCGTAGTCACTGTGCTTCGGGTGCTACGTGGACCTTGCTCGTTTTTATGTAAATCCGCTGAAAATGTGGGTGGTAAAGAATACTATTAAGAGTTGTATCTCCGTGAGAATTTTCGTAATCGTACCTACCTTCCCTTTCCGACGAATAATCACGGTATTCATACCTATGTCAAAACTCGTCCTCCTTTCAAAAAAACTCTCTCGTCGAGCGTTACACCAAAAACGAAGAAACTCCGCGTCTGTTTTTCCCTCGTTTTCTTCTCCAAAAACTTCGCCTCAACTACGAATGCCTCGAGTGTTGTTCGCGATACGATGTTACAAGAAACCCGCCTTTGCTTCGACACCTCGAGTAGAAGTAGGAGGAGGAGGACGCGTTCTAATTAGGATCACGCGTGTTCGCCTCTTCCACGGGCGAGTCTTGTCTGGTGGTACGTCCTCTGTTCGCGAAACGAGAAAGACGGAGACGAAGGTAGGAGATACTCATCGTAAAGGCAGCTAACACGGCCATGCCGAACTTGGAATTTCTCTCGTATAGTTCCGCATACATTAGGGACCCTCTCGTAGGAAACTTGCAGGGTAGTTTGCCTCCTGGCGAAAGGAGAGAGGAGCTAGCTAGCTGGCTGCTCCTCTCGGAGAGCGCGCGCCGCGCTTGAAGGACGAGCACCGCCACGGACGAGGCTGGGTCGAGGGTGTAAACCGCACAAAGTAATCTTACAGAATGTATATGCAAAGAGGTTCGCCGACGGTGAACCTTGCTGAGGGGTTGAAGAGAGAGAAGGGCACAGCTTGCATGATCCCATCCGCGACAACACCGACAAGACACCCCCAGAGGCAAACTTACCTCATAGTTCGAAGACTCTTCGACCTTTGCACGCGCTATCGTCCTCGTCGTTGCGATGCTTTTTATCCGGAGACCCTTGCTCGCTCTCTTCTCTCTCTCTGGCTCCGGTTTAATCAATACGCGCCTCGTGGAGACTGTTACTCGGCGTTGCTGTCGATAATCACGGTTAAAATAGGTTTCTGTGGGAACGAAGGTAATGGAGAGGGGATTGGAAGTTTGGCGAGCGGGATGAAAGAAGAATCGAAGCTGTAGGATGAATAGTTCGGCGAATGAAAATTAGGTTTAGATCGTCGAAACGTACGGAGAGTTTGGGGTTGGGGGGTTTTCGGCTTCGACGAAAGGGAGGAAATTTTTGCGTATTAACGCGTTTCATCTTAGCCGCTTATGGACAGTAATAAAAAGAAATTTGACGATTTTTGGAGATTAGTGTTGTCTGAGACGCGACAGAGTAAATTTAGAAGTTAGACTTTCTATATTTTCGAATCTCAGAATCGTCCTAATCGCCCTTTTCGAAATTTAGGAAACATCCTGTACATTCGCACAATACTTTCGACATTCGAGGTTGAGCAACGTTATCGACGGCTTATTCTTCCGTATCACGCCAGCAAACTTGTTCCCTTAATTAAACGAACCTACTCTCTCGATAGGAGTGGCAAATGATAACGTTTCGCAATTAGGAAACTTGTCTATGTTCGTACGTAATCAAAAGTAATACAACATGTACGTATTTCTATAAAGAGATTAAAAGATTGCAAATATTCGACGGAACCTAAACAAACCAGCGTTAATGCACGTCAATCGGTTCTATAATA